GTTTTATAGATGGCACATGGATCCAGCAACTATGTCTCGCATTTATGAAAATTATGAATCCAAGTGCTGGAGGTGTGGACAACAAGATGCAACTTTTTTTCATATGTGGTGGACTTGCAAGGTTATTAAGGCCTTTTGGATAAAATTGTGGTGGAACTTACAGCAAATTTTTAAAAGAAGAATCTTTTTTTTGCCTCAGCTGTTTCTCCTAGGTATCACACAAAATTTGGATGTAAAAGAAATGAACTTGATGTTGTATTGCTTAACTGCTGCCCGTTTGTTGATAGCTCAAAATTGGAAGAGTAAAGTTTCAAATAGCTTCTATAAAGGCTGATTTTAATCAACTTTTGGAAGCCATCACCAAAATAATTGTTTCCAGGGGAAGGTTCTCATGACTAAAAAAAATATGGATTCTTTTTTTTTGGGGGGGAGGAAGAGGAAGGATTTATCTACCCTCACTTCACTTCACAGAGGTCCAATTCAGATTGAAGAAGTATCTACATGCAAGTTTGTAAGTTAAAGCACACAATTTGAATTGCACTTGGAAGCCTATTGTAGCTAACCTAAGGCTTGCAATGCAGATATAATATGCCTGTAGCATTGAGTGCCAACCAACTACAGTTTCTGGGTCATTTTAAAGACAGCCCACATAGAACAGACTGTAAAACTCCAAATGAGTGTTTATAAGAGCATGTTATTTCAGCTAGATTCTACTACTCCAGGTGCAACCAGCATATAACCAAAAATGGGCAAAGGCCCTTCTGGCCAGTGTCTCCATCTACAAATTCAGCAGTAGTCAAAAGGAACTCCAAGTTGTATGCTTCTCCCTCTAGAGCAGTGGTTCTCAACCTTTTTAATGCCGCGACCCCAACCGGTCGTAAATCGAGGAGTAAACCGGTCGTAAGTCGAGGACTAAACCGATCGTAAGTCAAGGACTAAACCGGTCATAAGTCGAGGACTACCCAACCGGTCGTAAGTCGAGGACTTTCCCTGCCCGGGAGCGCCGCGCATGCGCGGTTCCGCCTCCTGTGCCAGCCGAGGCGTAGCTGGCAAGCGGCAGAGATGGAGCAGGCCGACCACCAGCTGGCCCAGCCCAAGGGAGGTAAGGCACCCGCCGGAAAAGGGGAAAAAAATGGCGGACAGCCTTGCTTGGCGACCCCCGTGAAATGGTCGATCGACCCCAAATGGGGTCCCAACCCACAGGTTGAGAACCACTGCTCTAGAGCACTGTTCATTGCCCACAGGCCGGATGCATCATAGCAAAACCGCGCCTACCCCATTGCCGAGAATGGCAAAAAAGTCACGATACGTGACATCACATGATGTTGCAAGTTTGACACCCCTGCTCTAGAGGCAACTCTAGAGCAAAAAGAGAAATGCAATGAACAAATAGCAACTATGTCTTGCATGGATTCGACTGTAATCTGTTTGTTTCCATCCAATTCCCAACATGTTCCAGGAGTTAGATGAAAACATCAGTGGGATCCCTTGATGAGCCCAGGGTAGCAATATAAATCTCAGTATAATCAGCATATAGATATTACTGTACCACAAAATAATGAATGACCTCTTCCAGGAGCTTTATATAGATGTTGAAGGGGACAGCCCAATGAACTTTGCTGAATCCCATGTGAGCAGTCACTGGGTTGACCTTTCTTCCTTGTTAATCATTGATTAGAATTATCAATGGAGGAAAGATAAAAATCTGAAACAATGCCTCCAACTCCCCCCTCCCCCCATTTAGAATACCATAGGTTGATGGGTATCAAAACCTGCTAAGAGGCTAAATGACAAGAGGTGTGTGGTCACTTATCTAGTTCCCAATAAAGGTAATATATTAGAATGACTAATGTTATCTTTAAACTGAAACTTAAAGAGTACCTAGAAGCCACTTCTAAGACATTGGGCAGCTGGATCTAAACAGGGATTCTTAAGGAAGGGTTGTGCACCTGCTTCCTAATCCAAAAGAACCCTCAACCCACCTGTCAACTCTGCAGCAATCTTGGCTGAAACCATTTTTACTTCATTTTCGGTTGCCACAATACTGGGAGGGGAGAATGGGTGGTTTTAATGTTAGACTAAACAATATTTTGTCCCGTGGGAACCAAGGTAATTGCTGCCTGACTTTTGGCAGGCTGAGCCTTCCGTTAGAAAGCCCGCCAAAGTATTCTATTGGGGAATGTAGTTGATTACATCGTGCTGGGGGTGGGAAGTTCAACTTTGTAACATTGTAAAGCTTTGGAGGGAACTCCAGACTTGGTTTCACTTTTGACTGTGCCGATACTTTGTAGCCAATAAACATATTCTTTAAGGAAATCTCTTGCCTTGGAGTTCTATCGGAACCATGACACAACCCCCACCCCCACTGAGTTGGAACAGAGCAATACAGCAATACACAAGTTTTTTGTATCTTGTGAGGAACCACTTTATATTCAGGTCTTACTAGCAACTAAAGCATGATTTCATAATTCTTGCTCTCTCACCTGTTGTCTGTTGCTTTGGCAGGCAGCACTTAGATGCTTGAACCACAGCATTGCATTCATTCTGTTACCAGCTTGAAACTTGTACGAATTCCCTGAATGACAATGAGTTCTCCATTAAAAATTAAAACCATCTCGTACTTTCAATTAAACATTTTTTTAAAATATATATATATATATATATATGTGAGTCTTTGGTCATTCGGGTTTTCTCCCGTGTAAGATTAGAAGTATCATAGCGACTTTTCGATGAAATCACATTCATCATCATCAGGCTTGTGCTTTTAGCTTTGTGCTTCTCAGTGTAATATGAAATGTCTGCTGTTTCTTTCTTTTAACTGCCAGTGGGATTTGAACTGAGGGGGCGGGGACTTGGTCGTGTTCTGAATGGGTGGACGTGTGCTCTGATTGGTTAAGGAACTTGGCTGCGCTCTGATAGGATG